CAGTTTAAGCTGGTAAACATAGCCTTTATCTAGATTAAAGTGCAGATATTTAAAAACTACAGACTTCAACATAAGTTAAGGTCCACTTCCAAACACTCAGAGTGGTTGTCTTAGGTTGACCTGCACGTGGGTGTTTTTCGGACTGATCCTGTGGTTTGACGTCGCTGCCTCAAGCGAACAATGACATAGTGTGACACTGTAAGCCTTATTGCAACTTCTTGGGCTCCAACTCCATCCATGCCATAGCCCTGGCATGATCAAAGTCTGTCAACTTTCGTCTTTGTGGCATACTGATGCAATACTGGATTTTTCGCAAACGGAGGCTTATATTATCACCAAAGTAAGCACAGTTCGAGACCATACGTCCGTTTTTGACGTGCACCACACTTTTTAACTGAAGAATGTCCGTGGTGTCGCACACAGGTCGATAAAAACCCCCATCAAATTTGGCTAAACTTCCACGAGGATTTCAGTGCTGCACGTAGTGATTTTGTCCCTTTAGGAAGCTTTGCAGTACGTATTGGTCCTTAACTTGTGTTGAAGTCTGTATACCGATTGCTACAGTGCAGATCATAATAATGTTATGAGTGAGCCAAGAAGATAGGGTCAACAAAGGTCAAAGTCTTTACTTTATTTTCAGATGGGTTTTTCATGCTGACAAAATGTCACATTTATTTCAAACAGCATTTTCTTAAATTAAAATATCCCTCTCCCTCCCCACACTTTATTGTAAAAAAGAAATAATATAACTTTTTCTCTTTCATTTATTTATGAATTTTATTGTATTGTATTTTAATTTTTAATTTTTTTTTATAATGGGGTGAGGGACTTTTAAGTAAACGAACTCTGTATCTTTTTTTTCTTGCGTCATAAACAACACCCCTTAAAAGTACTTATGATCTACTCGTTTCTTATTTGCTACTATATTTTCATTTATCAATATTTTGTTGCAACCTATTTATCAGATCTTACTTTTAAACAAAGGACTAAATTCCCACACACTGTTATATCATAAGATCTGTCTATTTTCGGGTGGGAATGTGTTCGAATAATCCATTAAGATAGCAATAACAAAACTGTATTTTGATCTCCTTTACGGGATTGCGTCATATCAAGAGTGCCAGAAAAGTCGTTAAACGTTTTTGTCCTGCGTCTCAATTTGACGCGTCAACATAATTATGGACCTTTCCCTGTCCCACCCACAAGATATTAAGTGCTGTTAGAATGTGGTAGACATTGCAGTAAGGCCTAATTAATATTTGTTAGTATTTGTGGAAACCTTAGTTATAAATATGTGAAACTTCCTAAAGAATTGTATTCATGTGCAATCTACTGTGAGGAAAAAAATATTGGTCATGCTGCAGGTGACGCTGGTGCAGTTCTAACCTTGTGTATGGTGTTGGACTATATCCTTAAAGCAGTGAAAATTGTCTATATTAGTGTGTCAGGTATGAGAAGTGAACAGAAGCAAAATCTGAAAGAGTGCGCTGTATCAAAATTACGAACCTAAAAATGTAAAAGAAAAATTAAAGAAAGGAAATCCCTAGTGAGAAATTTTTGTTAGGTGTGTACTTACTGACTTTGGTTGGGGCTGGTGTAGAAACTGTATGGTGGAAAAAATGAGAGGCCAACATAATTAGAATGACATTTTATTAATACATCCTGTATGATAACATGTGTTAATGATTTTTTTTAAAAATTCATCTTCTACGGACTTCCACGTTATCATCTTCTCACAGAACATTTATCATCTGTCATTTTTTCGCAAACCCACACACATAATTTTTATTAAAGCAGCAATTTGTCAACTTCTTATTAGCCTTTAGTAAAACCTTTGACAGCCTACACCGACCATCACTGTGGGCGCTTTTAAGGAACTACGGAATACCAGAAGATGTAGTTCCAGCAAAAAAAGCTATGTGCGAACAACAACGATTCTACGAGGAAAAATACACCTACAGGCACCAGCAACAGGTTCAAAACTGTTGCAAGAGTAAGACAGGGCTGCGTATTATCCCCAATACTCTTTGCAGCAGTTATTACAGGTCATGTAACAAGCCACTGCTGGGATGAAAGCAATCCTTTGGAGCACTGATGGTAACACATAAAAATGGCCTAAACTTCGCTGATGGTGTAGCCTTGCTAGGAGAAACTGAAAGAGATCTCCAAACATTAACATCTAGAGTTGCATTTCAGGCTGGACTAGTGGGATTGCACATCAATTGGGGTAAAACAAAATTATGACAGATTTCCTTCCTCTACTTCTGAACATCAATTTAAACGATAATAACCTAACGACGGTGGAATCCTCCACATATCTTGGCTGCGTGTTAACATCTGATGAAAAATTCAACAACTCAATTAAATTTGGAAAAATAAGTGGCTGAACCCAAAGTTAACGCTGATAATGAACAACTTAAATGCCTTGTCAGTAATGCTGCATTGGTGTGGGACATGGAACGTAACGTAAGAACAGGAAAGTAGACTAGACGCCTTTGACAAAAAATGCCTAATACTCAAATCCGCTAGAAAGACTGCATAACGAGAAAAGAAATTGGAAAAAGATCAAAACAGGAGATGCTGGCAAACGCCTTATGGAAAAGAAGAATACACAGATTCGGACTTTCCCTAAGACATTCAACCCCGAAAATTCCCCATATACCTGCGTATTGGAAGATCGATTGGAAAAGGGGCAGAGGACGACAGAGATGAACTGTAAACAGACTGGTGCTTTTTCGGTAGTTCCCACCCCCCTTATTTGAGCCTGATCTACATCTATATCTCTAGATCTAGATCTATACGTTTGATTCGCTGTGAGCTAAGATATCAAACCTAACAACTGCAAAACATTAAATTATGGTAAAATTCAGGGGGGCATGCCCCCCTGAAACCCCCCTTCCTATTTTTATTAGGTCAGGAGGGCAAGCCCCCCTGAAACCCCCCTACTCTTGTGACCCAATCCCGAGAATAAAATTGCGGGGTGGGAACTACCGAAAAAGCGCCAACAGACTATTTCGAAAGACTTTAAACTAGCAGGCAAGAAATAAAGTAATGTTCTCGAAGGAGCTGTAAATATAGCTTTCTGGTCATCTCTGATTGTTTCCTTCGTCTCTAAGTCTAAGTAAATCGCAGGCTTTAAAAATTATTTGAAGTTCTTATTTTGCCCCCTGATTAAAAACTCACAAGACACACGTGTAAAAAAGATATCTACATTTGAAAATAAATAGCTCACCTGCACAGAGAGCAGCAAACACATTGTGTCTCAGATCCCTCAACTCAGAAAACTCCTGTACGGCAAATCTGTTCTCATCAAGTGGTCTGCTAGCAATTCCATCCAACTCGCGTGTGTCTGTCAGACCAATACCAATGGCATAGATGTGGATGTTGTCTGCACGAGCTTGTTCTGCTTCAGGAATGGTTCTTCTAGCATTGATGTTTGACACACCGTCTGTTACCACAATGGCAATGTTGTCTACATTGGGACGGTCTCCATTGGCTCTTGTAAACATTTCAGCTCTCATGGTTTTGAGGGCATCTGCAGTGTTGGTGCTGCCATAGCGGTATGGGATATCATCAATGGCATTGTAAACATCAGCCTTAGTATTGTAGGTGTTCATTTGGAACTCAACATGATCTTCTGTACTGTAGATGATCACACCCACTCTCACATTACCGCCATCAATGTCAGCTTCATACAGGAAATCTTTTACAAAATCTTTCATCAGTTCAAAATTGGGCTCAGTCACACTGGTGGAAGCATCCAGGACAAACACCAAGTCAATCTTGGCTCCAGCACAACCTGTGGGGAAGGACATATCGAAGTTAAGAACACTCTTTCCTTTCCTTGTAACCTATGCCAGGCCTTTCAGTTCGGTAAAAATAATAATGACAATTTGCACCCAATCAGTCAAATAAGTGCACACATACATACACATAATATTCTTTTTTTGTTTGAAGGAAAGCAAAAACCTCTTTCTTCTCCCAGGCATCAGTATCAAGTTGAGCCACTTGATCTTTTGCAATAGTTTGGTCCGCCCAAAAGCCCTCTTTGGAAAAAAAAATAGTCTTCCAAACACTGAGCGTAGCCTGGTGGTTAAGCTACCAAACTTGTAATCATGAGATTGCAGGTTCGATGTTTCGAGCCTCAGATTGGTCCGATGTTTTGTTTTTCGGAAAAATGCTTTACTTGAATTTTCCACTTGGCTCAGTCCTTTCAGAGATGGACGTTAAACCAGGAGGTCACGTCTCTTAAATAACCTAACAGTGTTGATAAAGGCGTTAAACCTATTCCATTTCACCATTTTTAATGACTGAGCTTTTACCACGAAGACCTTTGCTCCTGATGTATGGGTTATTACTCCTCATCGACACAATTTAGATAATTTAAGAGGTAGGTTTCCGACCCTGTCTGTCAGGGCCAACACGGGCTCACAGAGCTACAACATCCGAACAAAAAGACCGAGATTCTCGTTAAAAACCCTTCACTCTCAGGAATCAAACTCGTGTCTCTTGCTTGCGACAGCTACATTATCGTAGACCCCCCCCCCTTCTAATATAAAATTCATGTTTTATAAATTTTCCAATGAAGCTGTTTTTTTTTTGTTTAAAAAAAAAAGTAAAATGAGATAATTGAATGAACCCAAACATTATGAACAACCAAGGAACATATTTCAAACAAATGAGGCTTCAAGAGATAAGTGTACTTACTGACTTTAGTGGGTGGTGGTGGTGGACGAGTAGTTGGTGCTGGTGTCGTAACTGAAAACATACATGGAAAATGTTAGACTTTTCTTTTTTTTTTTCTAAACCATAACTTTAAAGTCAACTGAGATCTATTTGGACAAAACAGTTTTCACACAACATGGTGACAATTCTTTCAATGTACATGTCAATTATTTTATCTTCTTTAAATGACTTTTTCTAGTCATGTTGACCACTGTGTCATAGAAAGAAATCAACACAGGTTGATTGCTCTGATTGATTAACACATTAATAAACGATAGATGACGTGATTAAGGAAAATTAGAAATTTTAGAGTAAAAATGTAAAATGGAATATAGGATCAAATATTGGATATATAAAAAAAAATACTGTTAGCATATTTATATAAAGTATGAAAATAAAATAAGACGAATCCAACTAGCATGCCACGTAACATGAGGAAGGCGTAGGAATTGGTCTTTTAACATCTTTGGATACACCCCCAAAGTCAAGATTTGGCTCCAAATAATAGAATTTGAGTTGTAAACATTTTTAGCTTCCTCAGCGTCTCCTACAACTATTGCATTGCATAAGAACCCCCCCCAAAACCCTATTTTTTTCCCATACCGGGCTTGTTTATCACCACCATTTCCTCATAAAGTCAATATTGTATTTTTCTTTATCGGCCGTTTTCTCAAAACGCGACTCTCCTCTATACTTTTTGGAATAACTCCACTATTTTTCACCCCATCTTTACAAAATTTTCACAAAATGAAGGGAAGACGTACTACTAAAATTTTGTTGTTGAATTCTTGAATTATGGAATAGATTTTTGTTGGTGGCGTCTGGAGTGTGGATTTTCACGGAGTTTTTGCAAACTTGAACGCTACTTCAGGGAAAAATTCATTTTAAATTGTCTAATTCGCTTAGAAAAAAACAACCAAGAAATCTTTAGATCTAAAGTTTGTTAACACGCAAGCAAAAAAACCCCACCCCAATCAATTTCCATAAGCAAAAAGTGCGGTATTCATTACGTAAGACATGTCAACAAAATCCAATATCGACGCCGTATCCATGGAAACAAAACTCTTTTCTCAAATGTGATTGCGGATTTTAAGACTCCTTACTATGCTTGTTATATGTGCGAAATTTGGAAAAATTTGGTCCCGAAATAAGCCAGATAGCTTTCGGGTGTAAACCCCCCCCCCTCCCTTAATACTGTAAACACATGTCAGTGTCCATATAACGTTCACACTAAGCAGGTAAAGATTTTGTGTAAAACTTCTTCCATGCATAATACCTGTCACAGTGTATACTCACGAGGGGAAAGACAACACGAAACATGTTTTACATGACCAGACGGTCACAGAAGAGATCCATGAAAGAGAAACCAACCCAAAAAATGCACTGGACTTAAATCCACTGTTAACACAACAGACAGAGGTTGGGAGAGGAATAACACACTTTAACACAATATATCCATAAACTAAAAGGCTCAAAATGTAGGTACAACACCTTAAAGATTGTTATTCAGAAAAAATAACCCATACCATTATTGAGAAAGAATGTTTTGAAAGAGAATTAACACATATTATCTTCTCATATCCCAAAAAGAGAAGTAACACTTAAAATATTATGATTCAGGTTTTCATAAAGCCTTGAAAATATATCAACATTTTCATTCACCATTTACCCTCAAATTATGTGATGAATCATAAAGCCACATATTTACTGTGCAGCAGTTTTCTGTTTAAAATTGAAATGAGACATGCTTTGGCTTTATCATCTCAGATTTAAAAGTATATCGATTTGCTTGTGTTTGGTGAGCCACTCACGCTATAACTAGAACTCAATAGTCACAACCATATTTGTAAACTTACATTTCTTTAAAGCATTAAACCATACACACTTTCCAAATATTTCACTTAATTATTTAAAACACTCTTGATCAGTTATAGGATTAGTCAATGAATTTGATGTGTCAGAAATATTGATAGTTGAGAAACAAGCATGCCAAGACACAGAGTCTTTCCGGTAGATATTAATATAAACATCACTCGTGCGAGTTAGTAAAAAAAACACAAAAAAAACAAAACAAACAACAACACACACACACACACAATCATATTTCACCTCCACAGAGGGCAGCAAAAACATTGTGTCTCAGATCTCTGAGCTCTGAGAAATCCTGTACAGCAAATCTGTTCTCATCAAGAGGTCTGCTAGCAATTCCATCCAACTCCCTTGTGTCTGTCAGGCCAATACCAATGGCATAGATGTGGATGTTGTCTGCACGAGCTTGTTCTGCTTCAGGAATGGTTCTTCTAGCATTAATGTTTGACACACCGTCTGTTACCACAATGGCAATGTTGTCTACATTGGGACGGTCTCCATTGGCTCTTGTAAACATTACAGATCTCATGGTTTGAAGGGCATCTGCAGTGTTGGTGCTGCCATAGCGGTATGGGATATTATCTACTGCATTGTAAACATCGGCCTTTGTCCTGTACGTGTTCATTTGGAACTCAACATGATCTTCTGTACTGTAGATGATCACACCCACTCTCACATTACCGCCATCAATATCAGCTTCAAATAGGAAATCTTTTACAAAGTCTTTCATTAATTCAAAGTTGGGCTCAGTCACACTGGTGGAAGCATCCAGGACAAACACTAAGTCAATCTTGGCGCCAGCACAACCTGTAAGAGTTTCACAAAGAGCATACATGTTTTATACCTTGAATTCTCTATCCAACCGTAGTTGAAATCATTATCACCGGATGTAAATATTGATGAGTTCTTGTATCAGTTAAAGAAAATGCAGAACAGCAAAAAGTAGTATAAAAGCAGGTGTCAGTTGTCATATTTACATACCGCTTGTGAGAGAGGTGTTATCGTTACAAAGGCTTACGCTATAAATTAAAAGTGCAGTAACCATAAAATAGTGCAAAATTAGCAAATTTGAATTGCCATGAAGTTGTGCTATAGCTACTCGATTGATATGTAATGTGAACTGTCGAAATATGATATTTAACCTAAGGGGTACATTTGTACTTTTGTAATCGCGTGGGAGATGTTAAAAATGAATATTATGATTTTGTTCCGTTGCCACAGACTCCTTTAAAAACAATTCTAATATGTATGATTTTGATTTGGGTTGCCTATTTACAAACCCAATTTAAGGAAATATACCTAAGTGATGTTCTCTCCTTTCTCTATGTTCTGACCTGTGCCACAAACGTGACCCCGCAAAAGTAATAAGCTATTCTAGCTTTTACAGAAGCTACAATCATGATAGGTGTTCTTTTGCAAGTTTAAGCTTTCAAATGACAAATGACTTGGAATACATTTTTAAATGTAAGACAATGATTTATAACGTCATGACACTTGTTTATTCATTCAGAACATTAAAGAAAAAGTGAAATCCTCCTGGCTGTTCTAATCCCCAAATCGGATTTTAATCTGTGTAACATACACAAATCAGTTTTAGCTATTTGTAAAGAACAAAAAGGATTTCTTTTCTGATTTAAAAACATTGTCTAACAATATGCTCAATATGCATTTTTTTTGTCTCAGTTTAGAACAAAAAAGAGAAATCTTCTCCACAGTTTAGTTTAAGAAATACTTTCTCGCTGTATATGACAAGACAGCACGTTTTTCTTCAAATCGAATATATAGCATTAGAAATAAGCACAATGATCATGTCTTAAACCTTTCCTACTTTATCCCCTTTTTGTACTTAAAACAAACACTCGTTTTGAATATAAGATGATAGCAAATCATAACAAAACTTCAAAAGCAAAATCAAAATTAATATTTGCAACTGAAGCTGCCCTTAAAGGTAAAGAATCTGAGATCCACTCTGACATGTTTCACGGAAAATAGAAAAAAGGTGTTCGGTGGGATTGTGTTTATCTGCACATAGGGGCCTATAATTTTTTTTTAAATTCTCTAATAGTTCGTAAGTTATTAGAAAACGCTTTTTCTCATGTTTTTGGTTTTTTGTTTGTTTGTTTGTGTGTATGTGTGTTTGTGTGTATGTGTGTTTGTGTGTGTGTGTGTGTGTGTGTGTGTATGTGTGTGTGTGTGCATGTGTGTGTGCGTAAGTGCGTGCATGCGTGTGTGTATGTGTGTGTGTGTGTGTGTGTGTGTGCGTGTGCGTGCGCAAGTGCGTGCATGCGTGTGTGTGTATGTGTGTGTGTGTTTTTGTGTGTGTGTGTGTGTGAGTGTGTGTGTGTGTGTGTGTGTGTGTGTGTGTGTGTGTGTGTGTGTGTGTGAGTGTGTGTGTCTTTTTACAACATATCATCTCGATGGCTTGTTTATGGAACTTTCTGGGCTTATGCAGAAACGTATGGGAGGGTGCTCGATGGTTATCTATCGAAAGCAGGTGAAAGCAGGTAGTGACGTGAGAAAGCATTGTAGCAATATTTTAGAATTAGAATTATTGCCATGATTTTGAAAATCATAGCATTTGGAATATCTTTACTACGAAATTCCCAGGCTTTTACAAATTAAGTGACTGTGAACTATCAAAGCATGTGAAAGCAGTTAATGATGTGAGCAAGCATGGTAGTGATAAATTGGGAACAACATTATTTTCATGATTTTGAAATCTCCTATAGCATTTAAGAAATATTTACTACGAAACTTCACTTACTGACTTTGGTCGGTACTGGGGCGGGCGTGGAAGCTATAAGAAAAGAGAAAAAACACAAAGTTCAGAGTAAAAGGTACAACGTGAATGGGGTATCAAACAAATCTTGCATTTAGAATGAATAGTCTGCCATGCTTCTAAGTGAGTGGTTTTTTAAAACTTCAAAACATTTAGAAGCATATTTTGTTATTCTTATTTAAGTGTAGGCTACCACGAAATACTGTTCTCTTTATTCCTCATCTATTCAATATAAAGCCTGTGTTTCTCTCTCTCTCTCTCTCTCTCTCTCTCTCTCTCTCTCTCTCTCTCTCTCTCTCCCCCCCTCTCTCTCTCTCTAAAGGGACTGAGTTTTATGTGAGGCCAGGCTGTTTAACGCCTAAATTTTCTCGTGACGTTATTTTTTAAGGAATTATTTTTGACGTTCTCGCAAGAGCCGCGGAGGCATGTATTTGAAGACCTATTAACATACAGGTAGACATAAAAATACAGTGGGTTTTTTTCATTTCTAGAGAGACATAGAACGTCAAATTGATTTTAATGAGCGAATCTCAAAGAAGGAGATTCTGGATATTTAACTCTAAATTAGTGCCAGGTAGGAGCCAACTCGGAGGTGTTACTTTTATGTATTATGAAATACATGAGTGTTACTGCTAACTCTAATATTATGTGCACAGTTGAACATGTGTAAAACTTTTCTAAAGAACTGAACTTGACCACAATGGTTCTTTATGTGTATGTTCTTGGATTTCGAAATTCATTGTTCAAATATCTGTTACTTTAGAATGATACAATACTGTAAACCAACATATCAGTTAACTTACCCGAACAGAGGGCAGCAAACACATTGTGTCTCAGATCTCTCAACTCAGAGAACTCCTGTACGGCAAATCTGTTCTCATCAAGTGGCTTGCTGGCAATTCCATCCAACTCCCGTGTGTCTGTCAGGCCAATACCAATGGCATAGATGTGGATGTTGTCTGCACGAGCTTGTTCTGCTTCAGGAATGGTTCTTCTAGCATTGATGTTTGACACACCGTCTGTTACCACAATGGCAATGTTGTCTACATTAGGACGGTCTCCATTGGCTCTAGTAAACATTTCAACTCTCATTGTTTGAAGGGCATCTGCAGTGTTGGTGCTGCCATAGCGGTAGGGAATATCATCAATGGCATTGTATACATCAGCTTTTGTTCTGTAGGTGTTCATTTGGAACTGAACGTGATCTTCTGTACTGTAGATGATCACACCCACCCTCACATTACCACCATCAATGTCAGCTTCATACAGGAAATCTTTTACAAAATCTTTCATCAAGTCAAAGTTGGACTCAGTCACACTAGTGGAAGCATCCAAGACAAAAACAAGGTCAATCTTTGCTCCGGCACAACCTGTGGAGAATAAAAATGATACAATGGATGTTCCCTAAATGGAGACGTGTTAAACATGCCAGCAATTGTGTTTCTAATAGCAATGTAACAATGGCCCCCATCTCTACCTTCGTCCGCTGTCTTATTTTTCTTCATTGTACATTTTAAAGTTAATATTAATTAACAGACATGAAATTCAGTCCTTAGAGCGTATTTCTAGCGTACCCTTAGAATGCGAAATAGTACGAAGTAATAACAACCAATGAAGCATAAAGACAAATATACAACAGGGATCTCTCAGTTTGAGGCGATGTTGTAGGTCCGTATATACGACAATCCTGGTATTGCTTTCTGCTACAATGTAGACATATTTTACTTACTGATTCTTTTAGGAGGTGGGGGAGGTCTTGTGGGAGCTGGTGTGGAGCCTGTGGAATGCATGAAAATGCATGCATGTACATTGTTATAGTTGTAAAAATAAAGGCAAAAACAAACATCATTGAACGGGATTGACGGATAAAAAACCCAACAACCATGTTGTTGAAACTTTAGTATTACAGTATATATTTGCTTTTCTTTTTAAAAATTGAAGTGTGGCTTGGGTTAAATCAAAACCATGCATCATGGCCCTAGTGTTTCTCTTTCTCTGGCCTTTCCGATTTGTGTTCACCGCACCCTTTTGTTATTATATTCCTTACTTCCACGCACCTGACCCCCCCCCCCCCACTCTCTCTCTACCACTTCAGGCTTTAGTGTTCCCTTCTCTCTGGTCTTTGCGATTTGTACTCACCGCTCCTTTAAATGTTGAGACATGTACGTACGCACTTTAGTTTTTATAGCATGTGTATATCTAGATTCTTGCCAGTTATTTTTGTGAATGTTCCTGAGAAAGCCCGTTGAGGGCGAAACGTTGAACTGTGGAAAATATATAATTTTTGGAAACATAACAAGGTCTTAACTGTTTTAATACCTTCTTTAAACAATGATGATGACGATGATGATGATGATGATGATAATAATATTAATAATAATAATAATAATAATAATAATAATAATAATAATAATAATAATAATAATAATAATAACAACTTTAACGTGAGATTTTATAGGGCCTAATCTCTAAAAGGATCTAAGCGCTCGCTGCACGTTACAGAATTATTACTCAACTTCACGGACGAATCAAAAGACAGAAAATGCTAATTGTCCCCCCCCCCCACACACACACAAGCTCCTTAACATCTTCTCACAAACACAAATTTACACGCACAGGTTTTTTAAAAATAGATAAATGCGTCTACAGTCTCTTTCTCTCTCTCTCTCTCTCTCTCTCTCTCTCTCTCTCTCTCTCTCTCTCTCTCTCCCTATCTCTCTTTCTCTCTCTCTTTCTCTCTCTATCTCTCTCTCTCTCGTTCTCTCTCCCTCTCCCTCTCTCTCTCTCTCTCTCTATCTCTCTCGCTCTCTCCCCCCCCCTCTCTCTCCCTCTCTCTCTCTCTCTCTCTCTCTCTCTCTCTCTCTCTCTCTCTCTCTCTCTCTCTTTCTGATGACACAATACGCATTTCTTTTGTGAGGGATTTCCAAGTTTTAGGGGTATAGAAAGAAAAACCTCTTCCACCAAGATTGTTAGACTGTACGGTGTGAACACTCGTGGAATTTTTATCTGCTGATATCAAATATCCTGTTAACTAAAAATGGTATTTCGTATATTATGATGTTTTGTTGTTCCTGTACCAGCGACATAGAAAATCAATTTTTGTAATGAATTCTAGCTTTAGCAGCCAACTGGTAGCAAATGTAGATTTATCAATAAAGGAATGATGCGTTCCTTGAGGCAATCTCTTTTGGCTAATCGCACAGCTTTGTTTTGGAGGCCCTGCAGTTTGTTTATCATTTCCAAACTCATATGGGCGACAAGAAAATTACAATGGTAAAGTATTGAAAAAAGAAATGTTGAGATTACAATGTCCTTGCTCAGCCTTATGAGAAAAAAAGTAGGGAAACCTGCCGTCTACATTTTGAATTTGAATAGAACTACAAACCACCCAAATTTTTCAGCTGAATAAACCGTGTCTTAGTACTTACACAGCGCTGCAAACACTTTGTGTCTGAGGTCTCTCAACTCTGAGAACTCCTGTACGGCAAATCTGTTCTCATCTATCGGCTTGCTGGCAATTCCATCCAACTCCCGTGTGTCTGTCAGGCCAATACCAATGGCATAGATGTGGATATTTTCGGCACGAGCTTGTTCTGCTTCAGGAATGGTTCTTCTAGCATTGATGTTTGACACACCGTCTGTTACCACAATGGCAATGTTGTCTACATTGGGACGGTCTCCATTGGCTCTTGTAAACATTTCAGCTCTCATTGTTTGGAGGGCATCTGCAGTGTTGGTGCTGCCATAGCGGTAGGGAATATCATCAATGGCATTGTAAACATCAGCTTTTGTTCTGAATGAGTTAAGCTGGAACTCAACATGATCTGCTGTACTGTAGATAATCACACCCACTCTCACACTACCGCCATCAATGTCAGCTTCATACAGGAAATCTTTTACAAAGTCTTTCATTAATTCAAAGTTCGGCTCAGTCACACTGGTGGAAGCGTCCAGAACAAAAACTAAGTCAATCTCTGATCCTGAACAGCCTGTGGAGAAAGGAAGCAAGAGTATTTTTATTTCATGAGGAATATGTGTTACAAAGCCCCCTTTTTAACTGTCGCAGAACTGACAGCCTGTCGAAATAAAGTAAGGAAAACAACCCCAAGACACTAATATCCTTCTTTCATGTCAAAACTGCTTTCTCCATATCAGAAACAGGTTTTCATTTAAAATTTGAATTCCCTGCCCTCTTTCGTAAAATGTGCCAAGTGTAAAACTGGATTAGCACTGATAAATACAGATGTTAATGTCCATAATATGTTATGGGTAAAAACAAATAGGTTGTGAGTGTAGAATGTTTAGACGGAAGTAAGCTAAAACTTGACGAATATACGAAAGCGACACGCAATGCTGAAAGAAGCATTGGAGAATATTGTAACAACAGGCAAGTTTGATGGAAAGAGAGGCAGAGGCAAACATAGGGGGAAAAGATACTGAAAAAGTTGACAACATGGCTAGGAACAGCAAGAACGACAGACACCATTGCTGCAACGCAGATAGAGTGAAGTGGAGGTCCATGAATGCCCACGCCAGTCTCTTAAGACAATGATCCTGGGCTGGACAGGATAGAGTGATGAGAGGGTTAAGGGTGAGTTGTAAGGAGGAGGGAGAGACCACTTAATACTTAGTTTTGAAAAAAATGGTGTATTTCTAGATGGTCTAAAAAGAAATAATCATCTAAACGCATTTATAATTACATATTGGCACATTCCATTGATATAGTCTTCGGACATTGGGAAGTAGGTGGAAAATGGGCTGGGGTTTGGGGACGGAGGGGATAGAGTCAGGCCGTGTAACTTTAAAATGACCATCATATTATGCTGCCATCCAGTTCTATATAATAATGTGGGAAGAGACTAGTTGAATTGTTTACCCAAAACACATAATTTGCAAAGACGTCATCTCAGCTTGGTATTTGCTGGCAATTTAAACTTACTTGCTTTTCCACCAACTTGCAGAGGTCCAGATTTGGGAGTCGCAGGTGCTGTTAAGAAATAGTTTTAACATGTGTAAGCTGTGCGTACATATTGTCTTTTCCATAACATTAACATAAACATTATTATCTTATAAATTACTAAGCAGACTATTTGCTTTTTATTTTAAACGAGTAATATGACTATCCTTTAAGATTGAACTACATCTGTAGCAGCTAAAAATCATTTATTGAAACATGATAAGATCTTCAACTTTTCAGAACATGTATTTTTTGTTTATCTGTTATTGTTTTTTGTTTTTTAAAATATTTACCTACTTTAACTTATTGCGCATTTCATCCTTCTAGCTTCTATCACAGTTATGGGCATACGTGATAATTTCAAATACTGCACAAACACCTCTGTCCCCCACCACAACTACACACATACACACACTCACACACACTGTCTCTCTCTCTCTCTCTCTCTCTCTCTCTCTCTCTCTCTCTCTCTCTCTCTCACACACACACACACACACACACACACACACACACACACACACACACACAGCACACACTCACACAAACACACACACCCACACACTCACAAACACACACACACACACACACACACACACACACTCACACACACACACGCACTTGTGCACAATAATACACATTTATAGCCCTGCACAATAATACGCATAAATGCGCTGAAACACAAACCAGCCCACAAAATATGTATACTATAGATATTTACACACTTAATCAATGATATAATAAACTATGGAATGATTTCAAGAGGAAAGGAGTTGCAGCATATCACTAATGTATTATAATGTACTTTTGTCATTAGGTTTTGACCAACATAAATAAAATACTAAAGACCAGATTTCTTTCAATGAATACATTTGTCTCGATATTGCTTAGCACAAACAAAATATGATAACGTTATATTTGTTTACATAAATGTAAATCTGCGAAATTGTAACACTTAAGTTTTTTATCATATAAATGCGATAGCTTTAATCTTCAATTTGTATATATATGAAGATAAGTGGACATTGCATAATGCGTGTAGTATATTTTCACATTATTGTATTTAGGGCAACATAGCCTATCTAAAGGCATTACAATATCAAGCTGGGAATAATGACGTATAATTACATAGAGACACTACTAAAATATATTTCAGGACAATCAAATTACATGGTATAATTAGGTAAAAAAGCGTTTGTTTACTTTTCTTGTACAATAATAGAAACATGGAAAAAGCGTGCGTAGTGCTAGAATAATATATTATAATCTAATAAATGTTCTACTTTTGAATTGATTGAGCCAATATATGGGACACTGATAAACTAACCAAAGTATACCTTTCTAGTATAGTGCAAAGAGTATTAGCATAGGTTTGTTTGTTTCTGAAGTAAACTCAATCAAAAGTATCCACCCACCTCCCCCCCCTCTCTCTCTATCTCTCCCCCCCTCTCTCTATCTCCCCCTCTCTCTCTCTCTCTCTCTCTCTCTTATTGATGTTCTCACCCCCTATTATGTATATAATGCCCCCCCCGGCCATTTCTCGCTCTTATTCTTTTAGTCTTCTTATCTGTTTTCTGCTCATTAGGCCTTTTTAATCTTAAAACTTGAAACATTGTGATGTCTGATTTATAATGCGACTGCTTTCACTTTCTTGCGTTTAGAGAAAAAAAAATCACTTTAGGTGAAGGTGTAGTATGACACAACATCAACAGCAGCCCCTGAGCAACATAAATAAGAATGGTGTGCTGAAGGCAAATACAGAAAGCTGGCAGTGATAAGATGATTTGTCTAGGAGACACAGAGAAAGTAAAAACGGCATATTCCTGGTAAGGAATAAATTATAAATGTCAACAGTATGAATGGGTTTTACGTGATTATTTTTAATGAACGCTCACCCCAGCTGAAGTGATCAGTTGTTAGCACGTAAGTACACAATGACGTATTGACAACTATAAAAAGGACATCCATTGTGTTGAACACAACTTTATTATAACGTTTTACAGAAAAGCCTGCATCCCAAACAGTAACTTCGCTGTATAATTAATTCACTGTCCTTCAGAGTCTTATAATTTTTTTTGTTAAAGAGAGAAAAAAGCTTCGCTGTGCATGTGTGCCATAGTCATAATAAATAATACAGTGGTGGAAGGTGAAGGCATTAAGTGAACAAAAAATAAATATACAGGTGATATAAATAGAAATGATGTGCTGGTGGTACATAAACAATTGTATGTATAATAGTGCTGTGCTCTTTTGAAAAGCTGCAGTGAAAAGCTGTGGGCTTTGTGGCGGAAATGCTAAACGCAAATGGGCGAGTTTAAGAACAAATTAAAAATTTTTTGCGAACAGGTACACAATCTTACCCCTCCCCCCCCCCCCCCCCCGGCCAAGCCACTTCCCTCTCTTCTCCCCTCCACCTTTTCCATAAACATATTCAGACAATGTTTGTAGTCAAACTCTAATTCTAACTGTAAGTAGAATAACTAAACATGGAATGAAAAGTAACTCTTAATTAAAGACATAAAATCAACTAAAAGTGCTGAGCTTGTGGCTTTGTATGAAAAGCGGGCAGTGGTATAAGCCTTAGCAGTGTGTTCTGATAATGAGATGGTCATCACAACATATATATGACAATTGACCAAGTTCTATACATTTTGCTATACTCAAGAAAAGGAAACGATACAAAAGGTGGGTGTGGAATATAGAAAATACTTTGAAGGCTAAAAGAGAAAGGGAGATAGATGATTCAAACAGGGGAAGATGGAAAGAAAGCGATACAGAGGGGTCATTCATAAGACCAAAGCGGAAAAGAAACCCAGGTTGCTATTTATTTGGATCGAAATGGGGTGGGTAGATAGAGGCACAATATCTAGGGAAGACTGGTATATATGTAGGTAAAAAGTGTGAAAAGAGTTCGACACTCCATTTGATGCTGTGCAGGGCTATAGACGAAGCAGGTACTCGACATGGTTACCGTTTTGTCGCCCCCCATAAGAGGAGTATAAAAAAGGGCAGAATACCACTAAAACTATCTCATTTTGGGTCCCCTGCATCATAATGCAGGATGGACGAAGCTGGGTTTCACAGCTGACCCAAAGAGGGGACCAAAGAAAAAAGGAGAGGTTGAGACACTACAGAGAGGGTGAAAAGAAAGGAATACATGTGCAGAAATGATACTCACCAAATAGTATTTAATCAAAAGAAGACAGAGAAGTAACCAATCCAGTTCGGAAAAAGAAAATACTATTTCTTACCATAACATATTTCATGGCATAGGTAAAGAAAAGTACAACATGCCACCGTACATTGCAAAACCGGCATCATATAAACAGATAAGAAAAGTACCAGCGGCTGCCATGCCATGCGAACTAGTGACATGCGGTAGAGAGAAGGTGATCAACCAGAAAGGGAATATAGATACCTTTGTTAGACTGTCCATTTGTTCACCGTTATCTGTTAGTGCATCTTCATCATTGTCGTATATTAGTAGCTGTTACCCCAATGCCTCAGCAATTTCAAAGAAAATGGTCATATAAAACAATACAAAGGTCACGCTTCATCAGATGAAGAATGAAAGGAGTTGGGGTGGGGTGGTGTGGTGAAAACGATCTTGATGAAAAACAGACGCTAGAATGGATTACAATGAAGCAAAAGAGGGTGGATGGGAGGTTACAGAGTTCAATTTTGCATATGAATATAGAAATCAGATATCATAATGAGATAGAGATAGATAGATAGATAGATAGATAGATAGATAGATAGATAGATAGATAGATAGATATAGACAGAGAGAGACAGACAGACTAAGACAGAGAAAGAGACTGAGAGTGAGAAAGAAAGAGAGAAAGAGAGAGACAGAGAGAGGGAGGGGAGAGGGAAGAGAGAGGTGAGAGACAGAGAGGGGAGAGAGAGATGGGTGGAAAATTGGTTTGGGGAGGGGGGGGGTGGTTGTGATTTTTATCAAAAGTTAGAACAACCGCCAATATTCAGAGATACAAAGCCAAGAACATTCTTAGTCCAACCACCAGCAAAGTACCCACATACATTGCAGTAGAACCAATTTTAAAGCACCTCTTTGCTCTGAAAAGAATACATGAAGCACATAATTTTGCTAGGAAGTTGGAGATTTCCAAGCATGGACTCAGAAGTATGGCTCGTATATTACGTTATGTTCAAGCAGTCAAGGGATCCCCGGGTATTGTAGGCTATATGGAATTGTGTGTACCTATACAGAAAGAAAATACTTTTGAGTCAATTTGAGACAGCTCGTCAAAGTCCTTGAGCACCAGTGCATTTATCGCCCTCGGTGGACTCGCCACACGAGTCGCAATGGCTCCTGGGATGGGGCCGATGCCGATCGCAAACACTTTGGTGCCTCTCGCTTTTGCCTTCTCAGCAGACTTTATGAACACAGAAGAACGCCTTCGAAACTGATCACCCATTACGATGATAATCATTTTCGCACTTAAGGACTTCATGTCAAACACTTTTGACGAAATGTGTGAGAAAACGTCGCTGTTCTCGCCTTTGACACGACTACCTTTGAGCTTAAAACGTGAGATTCTGTCTATGTTCCAATAAATAGCTTGTCGTGAAGAATACTTGTCTAACCCAAAGTGTGTCTTTTCTCTATGTGCTCCAAATGTTACGGCCGAAACGTGCAGTATACCGTCATCTATTTCTGTGCTGTAGAGTACGACGTTTTTGGCGAAATCGACCATCTTTCTGAAGTGGCTCTCAGTTATTCGTTTAGTCTGCTGGAAAGCAAAAACGAGATCGACACGAGGGTTGCAGTCTGGGGAACAACGCAAAACCATGACAATGAGATGTGAAGGAGGTTAGTCAGAGACTTACACGAAAACGAAATGACTGGGGATTTGATGACAGACTCTGACCCATTTAATACCGATGGGAACATGATGAATCAAACTTAGCATTTAAAATGTTCTATAACATTTAATGTGTATAAATATTAGAATGAATTTATACAGTGTATACTTGAAAGTTGTTTGAGCAATATCTCTGTTTTCCACTTATCAGAAGGAGAAAATTTATATTTGTATGCTTCTCGTGCTGGTACAGTCATACGTTCCTACTAGCATCTTAAATAAGCACCAAGCATTCATATGATGTTACATATACAAGGTCGTGTTTATTGTTGTGGATGTCTATATATGTATGAGAACGTGAATATACGTACAAAGAAGTGTCGGTGATGGTTGGGTTGGGGTGCAGTTAAATCAGATGAAGGAACGAGTAGTTATTTCCTTAAGCCTTGGCGTGTATTGTTCCTGTAATTACTGGCATTAATGAATGTGATGGAATGTGACTCTCCCAAAATTTGAATACATTTTTTCCAATATGAAAGTGTTTCGGGGTTTTACAGTTTGTTTGTATTGTGTAGTTTTCGGGGATACGATTCTGTAGGCCAATGTAGAAGACGATGGGTAGGACTAGTAAAAGTACATGAGACGGGATTCATGATGTTCTGTGGTTTGATTGATATTTCGTCAGCGTCATTTCAAAATGGCCCAAACCAATCTCAGGAGTTTTCCAGAAAAATCCGTAATTTAAATAGGACTTCGTGAGATTATCAAAATTTGCTACGTTTTGTTTTGTCATTTCCTTTCAAATATTTAATTGAAAAATAACGAGAGCCCAAGTCTCGGCGTTTATTTTTTTCTTTAATAACCTCGAAACTTAGAAAACAAAATGACGCATACGTTTGTGGAAAGACGCTGACGATACGATGTTTATTTACAAAAATGAACTGATTGGGAAAAATGATTCTTAAAATATTTTTTCATCAGTAGGCATTTCTTTTTAAATAACAGCAACAAAAAACCCTGACGTTAAAAAGAACGGAGTTGTGTGTTATATACCAGCGAGTCACTGATGATACGAACGTGTGCTGGAGTACTAACCTAGACCCTCTGCTACAGAGTCAGCCAAGGGTATTTGGTGTAGTCTCTCGGACAACCTTACCCTATCACCTGGCAAAACAAACGTCCAAGAAACAAGGTTCACGGCAAGGACAAATCTGGGCAAGTTTAGTAACGAGCGAATCAACCTCAAAAAGGTAAGATCAAAAACCACACATTGTGAACAAACACAAACAAACAAGTGATGTCATAGAGCGTGGAACAGACAACTAAACAAGGCATGGCAACAAGAGTAGCAGAGAGTTGAAACCGGAATAAAAACAAACATCTTTAACATCATCTGTTTTATGGTACTGAAAAAAACAACAACCTGTTCTTATTGTCGTAAAACTATAAGCAATAGAAACAGAAAAATAATAATAATAATAATATACATTTAAGATGACACTAGAAAGGGCAAGCAATACAAGCGAAACTGTTGGGTGAAGCTACAGCAGATCCGCTGCAGTTGGGGATAGTTTGTAGCAGGAATTGGGAATTGCGGGAAAACCTGAAAAAATCATCATGTTGGTTACTGACTTCATTCACTAATAGATGCACCGACAATCTAATCTAATGTTAAATTGATTTCTCCATACTTAATTTAGTAGTAGTAAGCATTAAACAATAAAAAAATCAATATCGTCTAAAACGAAAATTAAAGTCGAAGACAAAAACACCACTCGTCATCTACAGAGTAGAGCCCAATCTGAGCACTAGCTAACCCTCAGAGGGTAGCGTTTGTCAGCGGATGTTGTAGAAGGGGTTAGAGATGCGCTGACTTTGAATCAGCGCAAGGTCTTACGTGTAGTGGGGACGGGAGCTTGTCTTGTGTCCACTGGGGGAAGAAGAGAGGGGGTAAAAAAGCTCAGACCGGCACCAAATAGTGGTAAAATTAATGTTATAATTAAATACACCATTAAATTAATATTTGGGAAATTTACATTCCCAACTCTCATCAGCTAAACATATTATATGCTTTACCCCTCCCCTTCCCCTTTATAAATCCTTTCAAAACACCACCCCCTTGAACCCCCCCCCCACAACAACAACAACAAACAAACAAACAAACAAACAACAACAACAACAACAACAACAACAACAACAAACCAACACTATCCAAATAAAAACTCAACTGAAACAAATACAACAATTAAGTTGATAGTTCTGTTGACATTTCATACAATCCGGATGTTAAAATCAAAGATTGTTGGCAGAAACACTGCCACGGGTAGGTCCTATTTCTTTACTTCCCCTCTGTTGTTTCTGCCTGACTGTCTGTCTTACTTTTTCGAGCGCTAAATAACCATTATTGTGTCGTTGTGCTTCTCTTTACTCAAACAAATAAACAAACAATATGAGGTATCTGTAAGAGCGCCGAGACATTTTGACAAACAATGGTGGTTCTAATAATGTAGTCTACCTGTAGCAGGACTGAGTCATGTGAGTGAACAGATTCAGAAAGCCACAGCATAGCAACGAAAGGTTAACAAAGGATTGGAACCTGGGCCATCTGCAGAACACACCTAGTAAGACACCATCTGTCCAAGCAACTTGCACACCAGTCTACAGAGTACGTTGTTTTGTTTCCTGATTTACCGGTGTCTGTGGTGCAGTGTAGTGATTTGGGGCTTTTTTGTCGTACGCAGGATACCCGAGTCCGATTCCCGAAAGTAAAATCTGGGTCTTTCTAGTGGGATGATGTATCCTTCGCAGTACAGATTGGCTCTGGCTGGCAGGTAGGATCGAAAGCCAACATAGTAAAAAAGCTTAATTGTATCGATAAGGGTGTTAAACACGTACATTAACAAAGAAAAAGAACAAAGAGTTTCACGACTTACAAGCTCTGATCTCCTTCCTGAGAAGAGCGCCATATCTCTCCAGTTCGTTGTAGTCAGAGAAGGCAAATACGTTGTTGGAGGAACTAGCTACGTTCTCGAGCTCTCCCTTGTCCGAGAGGCCGATACCCAAAGTATACACGCCAATGCCGGCTTCTGCCGCACGTCGACTTTCACTGCGGAGCTGAGGGTGAAATGTTTGTTCGTCTTGTTTTAGTGAGTTTTTACGGCGCTCGCAACTGCTTAATGTTATATTAGCGTCAAGGAGTGGATGTCAACAAGAGAAATCCAAACGGGGAATTAGGCTTACTCTGTTTTCCTCTCTAGCCTCAACAGCACAAAGTCTGCTTCAACTATCAAGGCACCCCGAAAAAAGCACTTCACAAGGGAGTGACAAGCATACAATACAAGTACAGA